AAATATATTTTGGACTAACGGAGTCTTTCAAAATAAACGTTACAAATGTGCAGCCCTTTCCATATATTTCTCTGTGCTGTTTGTGTGGTGCCTGGTGAAACTCGTATGATTTCCTGAGAAGGGGCCATGCAACACCAGAATGCAACTTCAAGGAGAATAAAGAAACTTCTAAAAAATGAAATGACAGACTTTCATCATGCAATTTTGGTGAGATTATGCAAAGCATATTTTACTGAGTATTTCACAGAATTACTCCCACATTGAAACCCCACATATATAAATGGAATTTTCTTTATTGAGGAGTGACTGTTTTGACACAAGCTAACTCTCTTCTATGATGACTTTCACATTAGATATTCTAGATTTTTTTTTTTCAATGATTCGGTTTGGTTTCTTAATAGTAATTTAAAATAGGTAGCATCAAATACTTTTGTAATCTGTCTTTGTCTGAATATAGTTTATCTGATTTTGGAAGTTTTAGCACCTATTTTTTTTAGTGAGTATATGCAACACTTGAGCAGCTTTAAATATTTATGAATTCAGTCGTGTAGATATACAGGCCACTTGCATGTCTGGCGCATCCAAATCTTTCATTGAGTTCAGGGGACCTTGAGTGCTCAAGACACTTACACCAATACAATTTAAGGTCCTAGTTACTGTGAGGTGCTCAACATCCTCATCTTCCATTGACTCTTGAGGGTACTTGGCACTTTTCAGGATTAAGCCCCAGATACAAATAGCACAAAAGAAAAATAGGGCTGAGGGAATAGAAATAAATGACTGTTCGTAATTATCAGTAACTGAGACAGCTTTGTATGTACGTCATGATATTTTTAAGAATAGAAACAAGAACCTTGTAAACTTTGCTCTTTAGTTATGTGTCCTGGAAGGCACTACAGTTGCTGGATAGAGAGCATGAGAAAACAAGAGTATCTTGTTTATAGAAACTAAATTAAATCCAAATTTTGGAGTTGACAGAAGAGTTCACACTCTGTCATGGTCTTCTGTTTGAAGGTTTTTTGAGCCCGTGTCCTGTTTGAGGCATTTTCCCCCTCCCAACATGTGGCTAAGCCTTCTAGAATGCAGGTATGGCAGTACTACCCTCTAACTCCCCTACCCTCCACAAAAGTGACTACTTCAAAATTATGTCTTCTATGATTTAACAAATGAAATGTATACCACTTGTCAGTGTTAGAATTAAATACAGTTCTCCAACTTTGTAGAATCATAGAATCATAGAATAATAGGACTGGAAGGGACCTCGAGAGGTCATCGAGTCCAGCCCCCCGCCCTCAAGGCAGGATCAAGCTCCGTCTACACCATCCCTGATAGATGTCTATCTAACCTGTTCTTAAATATCTCCAGAGAGGGAGATTCCACCACCTCCCTTGGCAATTTATTCCAATATTTGATCACCCTGACAGTTAGGAATTTTTTCCTAATGTCCAATCTAAACCTCCCCTGCTGGACTTTAAGCCCATTACTCCTTGTCCTGTCCTCAGAAACCAAGAGGAACAAATTTTCGCCTTCCTCCTTGTGACACCCTTTTAGATATTTGAAAACCGCTATCATGTCCCCCCTTAATCTTCTTTTTTCCAAACTAAACAAGCCCAGTTCATGAAGCCTGGCTTCATAGGTCATGTTCTCTAAACCTTTAATCATTCTTGTCGCTCTTCTCTGTACCCTTTCCAATTTCTCCACATCTTTCTTGAAATGTGGTGCCCAGAACTGGACACAGTACTCCAGCTGAGGCCTAACTAGTGCAGAGTAGAGCGGCAGAATGACTTCACGAGTTTTGCTTACATTTAAATGCAATTTATTAAGGCTGTTTTAACAACAGAAGAAAAATGTGGGGGTAGGGTTTGTACTACTTTAACCTTTATACAAGTATAGTTAAAATGGTACAAGCTTTATATGTGGATTAAACCATTAAACTGTAAGCTGTTTATGACCAAGGACTGTTTTACTTTCTAATCTATATGGTCCCTGTACAATGGGCCCTTACTTGGGGTTCCTGGACTATTATAAGAGTAAGGCATTTTATAGGCTCATGTCAGTTTAGACATTGGAGGTACTTAATCCCTTCCATTTTATAGAATCATAGAACACTAGAACTGGAAGGGACTAGGGTTGTAACAGTATAGTTGATTAAATGATAAGCAAAAGCTTATAGGTTAATGCTATAGACTACACGCATTTCCCTCTCCCTCTCTCCCTGCCAGTACTGTATATTTTTTTTAGGAGGCTGGCCAGCAGTCTGGCTCAGTCCTGGCTTGAGACGAGTCCAGGACCTACCCCCATTTCAGCTCTGCATTTCAAGTGTATTAAGAGCCAGGCGGGCTGACAGCCCAGCTCAGTTCTGGCTCGCCCTGGGTCCAGGAGCTCAGACCCCCCTCAACAAGGGCTGCTGCCACTCTGCACTGCTGCCTTTTTCTCAGAAGCAACAGCACAGTGTGACAGGCAGCTGGTCCATGAGGGGAGCTGGTTTTTAAACTGTCTCTCCTCACATACGAGCTCCCACCTGGCACCTTGTGCTTGCCTTTGATTTAGTGGCTGGGGGCCCTGCCCCCAGGA